GCTGTGGGGGGGGGGGAAGTCAGGACACCCAGGACAGGGGTCGGGGGGCTCTTGCAGGACCTGGGTATCACTGGCCGGCAGCCCCTGGGGGGCAGGAAGGGGCTGATCCAGGAGCAGGGTCGCACACCTAGGGGTGCTCAGCACTGGTGTCTAGAGGCGCCCCCTCCCCGCCTGCTCCCTGAGCCACCCCCATGGCCACACCGCCAGGGAGCAGCGAATCCCTAACGAGCCCTGTCAATCATTAATGGCCTGGGCAGCAGCTCGGAGCTCAGTCCCGCCATGGGGCTCCCGGCCCCGCTGCGGCTGGGGGGCCGAGGTTGGCGCCCTGGGGTGCTGGGCAGGGTGCTGAGCACCGCCCCCACCACGCCGGCGCCCAGGTTGGACCTGCGGGGCATCTACCCGCCCCTGGCCACCCCCTTCATGGCCCAGGGCGGCGTGGACTACGCCCGGCTGGAGGACAACCTGCGCCTCTACGCCCAGGTCCCCTTCCGAGGTGAGCGTGGGGCAGGGGGCACAGCACGGCCGGGGCAGCTACGGTGCGGGGCAGGGACTGGCTCCGCCCCTCCAGTGCTGCTCACTTCGGGCCAGGGGCGCATGGCGGAGCCCCGACATCGTGGAGCACCTGCCGTGGAGCCTGGTGTGGCTCCCCGCAGCCCTTGCGGGGCAGAGCCGGCCCGGTCCTGGGGACCCTGGAGAGGCCCCGGCAAGGCCGGATGCGCCTGTGCCCCGGCTGGGTGCTGGCGCCGCAGGGCTGGGGGCAGCGAGGTGCTGGATCTTGTCTCCCGACGTGCCACGGCCACCTGCCCAGGACGGCGCCCAGCGCGGGGTGGGGGTGGGGCGCACAGCTGGGCTCTAGCCATGGCCGTGGCCTTGCTCGTCCGCCAGCCCAAGGATGCAGCCTTGGCTGGACTTTGCTCCAGTGTCGGCAGCTGGAAAGGGGCAGAGGGTGAAGCTGCTCCCCCCAGCTCTGGCCTGGCGTACAGACTGCGCACACGTGTGTGCACGCGCCGTCCGGCCAGGCTGCCCGGACCGCTCCAGGAGAGGAGACCCTCCAGGCCATGGCCACGCTCCACCACCTCCTGCGCCAGGGTCTGCCCCGCAGCCCCCAGCCTGAGGTGGGCCCGGTCCACGTTGGGGCGGGGGAGCGGTGCACATCCGTGGGCACACGCGTTGGGGCAGCGTCATGGGGCTGGGACTCAGGGCATGTGGGCCGGGTCCTGGCTGGGGCTGGGGGCTGCCCCCTACCCTGCCCTTGACCCCTGCCGGCCGCGCAGGCTTCGTGGTGCAGGGCTCCAACGGCGAGTGCCCGCTGCTGACGGGGCCGGAGCGCCTGGACATCGTGGCCCGCGTGCGTCGGGCCGTGCCCCGCCACCGCCTCCTGCTGGCCGGCTCCGGATGCGAGTGTGAGACTGGGGGGGCCCCTCACCCCTGCCCTGGCTCAGATGCCCGTGGCCCCGATCCCCTTTGTCCCGGCCCGATCCTGCTGCCCCGGAGGGCCCTGTGGGGCGGGGGGCTCTCATCTTGCCCCTCCCCCCGCAGCCACGCAGGCCACCATTGAGCTGACGGCAGGGATGGCGGAGGCGGGCGCCGACGCTGTCTTGGTGGTGACACCCTGCTACTACCGGGGTGCCATGAGCACTGCTGCCCTGGTGCTCCACTACACCCAGGTGAGGGGCGGGGGTCAGGGTCAGGCTCAGACCCAGCTGGGAAGGGGTGGCGTGGCGTGGCGTAGCGCGGCTCCACCTGGTACAGAACGCCCTACCCACTGCTCCTGGGGTGGGCACGTGGTGCTGAGCCCAGCTGGGCGCAGAGAGGACGCGGGGCCCCGTGGCCGTGGGCTGCGTGTCCCAGCCCCGCCGGCTCCCTGCGCAGGTGGCAGAGGCGTCGCCGGTGCCCGTGGTGCTGTACAGCGTCCCTGCCAACACCGGCCTGGAGCTGCCCCTGGAGGCTGTGCTGGCCCTGGCCCCGCACCCCAACGTCGTGGGGCTCAAGGACAGCGGTGGCGACGTGAGTCGGGGGCTCGAGGCAGATGTGGGGGTCGGGTCCCAGACCCCCGGCGCCGGGTCCAGGCTCTGGGGGATGCTGCCCGTGTCTCCCCAGATCACGCGCCTGGGGCTGATCGTGCACAAGACACGGCGCGAGGACTTCCAGGTGCTGGCGGGGTCGGCCGGGTTCCTGCTGGCCAGCTACGCCGTGGGTAGGTGGGGGCAGCTGGGAGCCAGGCTGAGCCGTGCTGCATCCGGGGGGTGTTGGAGACCCTCGAGAAGGGGGTGGAAGGGGCCGTGGGGATGGTGCTGGGGAGGGCTGGGCCCCCGTCCCGGCTGACGCCCGGCCCCTCTGCCCCAGGTGCCGTCGGGGGGGTCTGTGCGCTTGCCAATGTCCTGGGCGCGCCGTTGTGCCAGCTGGAGCGCCTGTGCCAGGAGGGGCGCTGGCAGGAGGCCCCGGGACTGCAGCACGGGGCC